ACACATACATACTTATGTATATGTATACATACACATGCAGACATCCCTTGCTAAATTAATTAGTTCCGTACCAGGGTAGGACATTGGTGTGGCTTGCAGGAAATGGCCAAGATGATGCGATGGCCTTCAACTGCAAGTATTGGGCCTGCAAATGCAGCCTTGTGCTGCTCGATGGGTCCCCCACCGTCTCATTGCGCCGAGGTATTGTGAGACGCAGCACATCTTCTGGGAGATTTGGAACTACGACGTCTACCGACCGTCTGAGTTTACGCTGTAGGACCGTAGGACTGTAGGAAATGTTCTGCCCAAAGTAAACAGCCTCCGCTGTCCCCCAGTATTGGGATGCAGCGTGCCGGGGAGTGTACAAGTTTTTACAGAATAAAGGCAAGTTGCCAGGATCCTCTTGCCGTCCCAAATCCTCTGCAGCTGAATGGAGCTACTAAGACTAAGATCGGTCTTTATCGGCATCCTGGTCTGGCCATCGCCGCATCAGTAGTCGAATCCTGGATTCGGAGGCTTTGCCTTTCGCAGCTCCGTGCCATGTGCATAGACACGCGTCACGTGGGAAGGGGTCCCACAATGCGCCCACGGAGTCTCAAGGGGAGTCTGCACCGTGCACAGGTTCACGAGAGGGGCGGGCCTAAGAACTTGAGCACCAGCAAAGTTCCGAGCCAGCTAAGCTTTTCACAAGGGCCGGAAGAACCTGCTTGGCGGACTCCTGTGGGGTGGGGCGGACTACATTTTACATAGTTCGTGTAACTCTTGTCTCTTGTGGAGCAGCCGCCCGAAGAAAACTCAGAGCTGGTGCTTGACAAAGACTGCGGCCAGATCGAAGAAAGGAATCGTGTTGCGCAGCTGAGGTTGAAGCTCCACGATGGGCTAAGCAGAGCCTGCCGGTGCCTGTGAATGGACCAAAGCTTTCCAGGCCATGCTTCTGAAATTCCTTCAGCTATGGTTTCGCCCGGTGTCTCTGCGGCCCTGCAGTCCTGTTCCAGGCTTCTCTATGCAGTGCATGGCTACGAAATTTTCCAGTTGGGGCTTTTCAATTCGGATCCCCATGCCGGCAATGCAGCAGCCCCGGCAGCCTCTCCTTCTCCGACTTCACTTTGTTCTATTTGTGCTGTAGGTGTTTATGATGCCAGATGGAAAGCTGGGCCTCATCGACTACGGCGCATGCTCCAGGCCGCGGTCGCTCGGCCTCCCTGACTGGACCATTCCCCCTCTGCTTCCAGGCTGAGCAAGGAGCAGCGCACGAACATCGCCAAGCTGCTTGTGGCCTGCCACTCTGAGTTCTTGAAAGTCTCTTTTGGCTTATCTGGCTGCCTTGCCAATCTTGTCCATGCTGTCCATTCGGAAGGCTATTGCAGACGAGAACGACGATGCAGTGCGCCACTCGACGCTCTCCGTAGACTTTGGCGTGACCACATCAAATACCTCGCACCTAATTGCTGATCTTACTGCTTGAAGATGCGTGAAGTTCTTGTTCATGTTAGGTGCCGGCCAGAGGTTGCCAACAAAAGAACCGAAGGAACACCGCAGCTTTCCGCAGTGACCGCCGGCTCAAGGCTTATCGTTTCTAGGCTGTAGCCATGGGCAATTCCTGCTGCGCTTGCGGGGACCGCAGTGACCTTCCCAGTGCTCTTGCTGCACGTCGTGCATTGTCTTTCGAACCCGGCAGGACACGTCCAGCTTCGGTGCAGATGGTGCCGCATTCCCGGACAACTAGATCCTTGTGGCAGAACTCGGGTTGAACTTGAAAGCCGACACGGCAGCGCGAGCCGAGGCAGGATCCTTTGGCATGTCCGAAGGATGGTACCCGGGCTGCAGAAAGCCTTGTTGTTCCTCCTGGTTTAGGCAACAGTTTGGACAAGAGAGCAAAAATCCAAGGTTTGGGAAGACTTTGAGCCTCACTTTCCGGACAGAGGAGCCTTTGTTCAGTACTGCCGGGCCCATGTCACGAGGGAAGGGTGCTAGCAGGTATTCTGGTATTCTGCCAGCCTGATGGAAGCAGGAGAACAAGGAGGTGACCGTGGTCTTCCCAAAAGCACCTCTGGGCTTCCGCCTGGCGTATAAGCAGTCCCCTCTCAAGGCCAGCCCAGCGCAGCCTTAGCATCTGAGCACACCTAGCAGAATCTAGCAGAGTCTAGCATGATTGCAAGGTTCTGCCGCAGGGTCGCTTCTGGGTTTGTGCTCTTGCTCTCGTCCTTTGCAGCCCTTTCAGAGGTTGCGAACATCAACGAGAAAGGTGCGGTGAAGGAGTTCGGCCTGAATGTCCAGCCTGGTTGGGCTTTGGCAGCTGCTTGTCTGCTTGCCTCTACTTGCAACCTGTGGCACTGCATCCGCCCTATGTCCCTCATGTCCCTCAAGAAGCGTGCGCAGCCTGCAGGGCAGGGGCGGGGGGTGGGTGAGTCGGGGGAAATCGATTGTGTCAGCGGATGTGGAAGGCGCTGAAGCTGCAAGGAGAAGACACCGAGGAGCAGGATGACAGCCGAAAACATTGGACGGTGAGTTGTAGCAAGCGATCAGTTGTAGAGGGCGGCCGGATTCGATGCGTGAGAGCCGAACTCGTTCTTTAAAGGCATCACCCCAAAAGCGAATCATCCTGCCCTCGTACTTCTGCATACTCTGCGGTACTGACTGAGGCTGTGAATGGCACTTCTGTGATGAGCTGTCACCACAAGGTGGGTGCTCAGATCGTCAAGGATGCAATCAAGGACCCGAGTCTGAGTCTTTCCAGTTTCGGTGATTGTTTTATTCGTGCCACTTTGCAGGAGACTTTCGGCGAGCAGAAGCACGGGTCAGACGATGCCTAGGTGCCGAGCCAGCGTAGCCATAGCCGCGAGCTGAGCTCTCTCGAAAGGTTCGGCTGGATTGTCGGGTTTTACTTGGGGTTGGACATGGTGGTAAACACCTATCAGGCTATCTGTCCGGTGTAGGGTGGCAGTGCCTTCGAATGTCAGCAGTGCTTACAACAAAAAATGGAGCCTGGATTTCAGGATTGCATCTGCTGGCAGGCTTGGCACTTGACCTCAGATTATACAGCTCGCACGAGTTGCTGTGATTCGGACTCTGTATCTTAAGTCTCGTGGTTCTGCGGGTTGCGCCGCATGTCATGGAGCTGCCGAGCTTTTGCAGGAATGCTGGTCAGGTGCAGTCCTGAGTTCCAATATCAGCGGCGTATAGTGTAAACATGCTCCCTACAAGCGGGGGTTACTTTTAAAGCCGCCTGTTGGACGACAGGCAAGACACTGTAGCGGCAGTATAGAGTGTAGACATGGCAAACCACGGGCGACAGAAAGCTTGACGTCCTTGCTTGGACTTGGCTGGCACTGGCTTAGCCTTGGCTGGCTTTATGTCGGAATCTGAGATCCGCTCTTTACATGTTACAGGCAACAGTTGAATCTGGGGCCAACACCACCTGTTTTTCGTGCTGCGATAGATGTACAGATAGCCGAAAGCAGACGAAGCCGGTTAGAACTCAAACGAGTTCTGACAATGACCGGCGGGTATAGAAAGGCACTTGCGCTTTCCCAGCCTAGATGCCCTTGCCATCACAGGGTCATTCGGATGCTGCGGGAAATGGAGTTTAGGGAGTTTGGGGAGTTTGGGGGCTTGGGGCATCTGCTTGGAAGACGCATCAGAGACTGCAGGCTGCGCAGCGACAGGCCGAGTTGTGTAAGTCATTGGGCCTCGAAGCTGGCACGGCTCACAACCGGCGGTTCTACTCGTATGGCAAACTGTCCCATGTTTCCTCGGCCGGCAGCTTCGACCCCTGCGATCACCCAAGCGCAACACGCGGATGCCCGCAAAAAAGAGACGAGCAAGACTCTTCTAGCAGTCTTCTAGCCAGATCTGAAGAAGGTGCAGCTGCAGGAGTGTACCGAAACTGACACTAATTAAAAACCTGCACCTAAGCCCTAGCAGACTCATCGTTTCGCCGTCGTGGCCACCGTCTGTTGCAGTCATTGAAAGCATGTGCTCCCCGAAGCAAGGGATTAATGTCTGAGATGATGGGAATCTCTGCTTTCTCACCCGTCTTTGCAGGTACCGGCAGCTTTCTGGGCTGGCGGCTTCCGCAGCCGTAACCAGGTACCCGTATCTGTCCAGGAATCTTCAGAGGTGTTTGGGCTCTGCTGTTTCGGCATCTGGCAGATCGTGATTCATGATGTCTTCGGGTTCCTGACGGATATCTTGCTTCACATGATTCAAACATGTTGACTGCAAGATGAGGGTCCGGCCAAATCCCTGTACCCATGGAGCACTCCCGGAGACCCGAACCAACGCCGCATGCATCTTAGTCAAGTCTTAGTCCGAGCACCTGAACGTACACATCCCAAGCCGCCAAGCCCCGGATTAAAGTCTGAAGCTCTTCGGGGAACCCCACAGTGGGCCTACAGTGGAGCTTGGGGTTCAAGAACCCATCCGCACTGCCGATGTGTAGCAAGGATAGGATGATGTGAGGGCGATCCTGGCTGTAGCGATTGACTGCCAGGACCCGAGGCTAGCGCTGCTCTTGGCGCATGTCTTCTTCAATCGGGGCCCATACCCCTACGACATGAAGCTTGGCTGTGACGTTGTACCTGGCTTTTTGGGGAGTTTGCCAGCCGGGCATGTTCACGTGGATCTCGGCCAATAGCCCGGCAGACTCATGCAGCTACGGCAACGCTCTCTTCGTACTTCGAGGAGTTGACGGTTCCGTTTTTACGCCAGATGGCCATAATACTCAATGATAGGCTTGAGTGGGCACCTTCCAGCAACAGGCATCGATAACGCCACAAGTCTGACCATACAAGGGCTTGAGTTTCTAAGGAACCGCCTGGCTCCCAAAGTTGGAATGCCCGTTCCCAGCTGAGCCTTGTTGCAACACAGGGCGTGAGGTAGCGTCCACGTTTCGGAAGCTGAGATGGATGTGGACCTCATGACGTTGGACTCTTACCTCAGGCCTCCGATACAATCCTTGATGTCAACCGCTGCGCAGTGCATTGTGCCAGGGGAGGAGAGCTCGATGAGATCGAGGAGTGCCAGAAAGTGAAAGTAGTCCATGGGCATTCCTAGGTTCGTTCCATGGCGGGCTCATGTGGGCTCGGGCCCAAGCTACATAGAACTTGTCGTGTCTGTTGCAAGGAGTTTCCAGGGCACTTAGTCATGCTGCAGAGATGCGCCACATCCTTACGCAGTTGCTTCGGTGCATCGGGCGGGGAGGCAGTGAATCCAGTGCCACTCAGGCAATGGTCCTGAACGGCCCTCAGTTCTTGTACGTTCTTGTGCCAGTGTTTCGATGACTCGCGGGGTAACTGCATGTCTGGACGTTAGCGCAGCGACTTCAACAGGCAAGACATAAAGGCACGAACAGAGCTACCCAATTCAACACAGAACATTGACTGCGTGGGTTTGGTTTCCGACCGAACAGAGAAGACAACACGGAACATAACTTCAAAGGAAAATGCTAACCTAATTAGGTGACAAGACATGTGGATGACGAAGAAAGGAATTCATGAACATGTATATGTGCCACTTCATTCTGGCACGCACACGTGTGATTGCATGCATGCGGGAGGGATGGCACTGTTTTTGTAGCATGCTGACATCGGCTAGCAGCTAGCATGGTCTGGCCCGAGAAACCTGTTCTTGCAGATACGCGCTTAACTATGAGCCACCATCATGTAGCATAGATGTAGTTTGATACCTGGTCTCTTTCTTGAATGCATGACCTCCAGATCGCAATCTTTTCCCAGGTCCGGCCTTGCAATGGAGCTCGGCGCAGGGCGCCTCTCCTCAGCAGAGATGCTGAAGCCCCAGGCTGGGAGCTGCATATAACGCACGGAGCAGAGCTGTATTGTGAACATGGGCTTCGGTCGGAGGGGGTTCGGAACAGAATGCTTTTCTCCGCTTCAATCGGGTGACGCATGGCGCATCGTGGCGCGGCGGGCAGGCACTGGCATGGCTGGAGGACGAGATCGATTCGACAGCAAGAAAAGGGGCGTGCACGGTGCATCGGCTCAGGCCGAGGGTTAAGCGCTTCGGAAGCCCAGCAAGGCTGAAGCCCTACCTGGACCGGGCCGTGCATGTGCCACACCTCGCTCCACCGACGAAAATTGCCGCCACATGTGCAGGGCTTTCGATCTGAAAGACAACTTGACCAGTAGATGGGTGCAGCAATGTTTCGACTGCGCCAGGACAAAGTCGAAGGTGGTGTCAGCATCTCGGAGCCAAAACTGCTTCACTTATCTAAGGTGGCAAGGCTTGCATTGCGCACAAGGTCCTAAGTTCGAGTGTCGACTGGGGCTTGCTGGAAGAGACCTTCCAGAAGGACGAGCGCCTGCTGAAGCAGCTGCTGTGGTGCGATATCTGGCTTGATCGAGCTGCCGCAGCCCGTTAAAGACCTCAAGTGCCCGCGGAGCCATGTGCGAAGCTCCGTGATGTTATGGCGTATACAGGGCATGAGTTCAAGGATTTGAGGAAGCCCAAGTTTCAACCTTCTGCCACAGTCAAGACCACGTTGTTCATCTTCTTCGTGTTCATTCGCGCGATTCACCCCACGGCCCCTCTGCTGGAGTAGAAGCGGCCCGGACTGACACCAGTGTGGAAACCACCCCTCAAGTGCCTTTGAGGTCATTGACGCTTCCAAAAGCATCGGAGAAGATGGGAGCAAGTTCTTCGCATACGGACCGCAGACCGCCAACTTGGCCGAGGCTGGCCATGGCTCTCCACTGGTGAAGTTGGGACCTGCTCCCATCCGCGTTCCAGGTGGGCATGTCGATGCTGGTGGCTCAGGCCTTGGCGTGGTGGCGCGGGGAGTGCCTCGGCCTCTGGAGATCGAGAGCCCTGTGAGCCCTGCTGCGACTGCCCAGACATGCCCAGACCCCAACACAAGCCAAAGACCGGCGCATGTCTAGTCACTAGTCTTTTTATCGAAGTCAAGTGGCATCGACTTAAAGGAGCATGGAAACAGATCTCGCAAGCAGAGGTGGATGACAATTTGGAACCCAGCTCCATTGTGCCTTGGCGGTGGCGTCGCTCTGTGAACCCTCTGACACCAGTGATGTCGTGCTCAGGGTCATTCCACTTCTGGTATGGCTCTTGTCATAGCATTGCTTTGGAGACAAGTCACTTGTCAGTTAAGGAAGATTTTCACGATGATCGGCTTCCTTTTCGGTCTTGGGGACTACCTCGAAATGCGGAGCATGGTGTCGCTCGGTGGAGGTTCCTATCAAATTCTTCTTCAGTCGAGGCTGCTGATCACTGCACTGATGCTGTGGCTGGTAAGTGGCAAAGGCCAGACACCATTTCAGTGGAATTTGCTAGCCCTCGTCGTGTGCTCCATGTCTGTGTACATGTGTCTCGACATGCAGCGTGACTCGGACGATGGCGATTCAGATAAGCTGCTGGGGACGGTCAACGTGGTGCTGAAGGTGACAGTGAGCTGCCTCGCTGCCGTGCTCACGGACAGGTACACCAAGCAGTTCAACGATCCTGTATATATACAAGCAGTGCAGCTGCGCGTCTCGCGGACTCTCCTTCTTGCGGTATTAGTGTGTTTGGATGGAAAGACGCTGAAGAACGGCTTCTTTCACGGGTGGGACTCTTGCACTGTCGCTGTGGCCGTGACGCACATGCTGAAGGCATGGAGCACACTATATCTCCTTGTGTACTTGGACTCCGTCCTGAAGAACATGGGCGAGAGTTTGGCTGTACTAGGCACTTACCTCATGGAGGTGCTGCTGCCGATATTCCAAACCACATTCGACATCCGTACCCTTTTGGCAGTCATGGTTGTCATGCTATCTGTATACACGTATGTCAGTTCCAAGCCCGTGGTGACAAAGTCCGTGCAGTTCGATGCGCTACAGGCTGCGTGAAAACAGCGCAGCGGGAGTCCGACAACTATCTATGAGGCTCCAGGCATCTCTCCAGGCCCACCTGTGGCCGGACTAGGTTTCGCAGTGTCGACAAACATGGGCGTAGGCCCCAAACCTGCGATGTGCATGCATCCTGCCCTCCGTGTCCCCCAAGGGATTCCCCAAAGCCACGACAAGGAGGGACTGGCTCACTTGGATGCAGCCCTGTTGCCGAAACCCTTGGCAGCTTTGGTGCAGCATCTCCTTGAGGTGCCTGCCCCAGCCTGGGGTGCCCCATGCCCGTGGAGCCTCTGAGATTTTGACCGAGGCCACCGTGTGGTATAGTCCACAGGCGGGTGGATCTTACCTCAAGGCGAGTCTCTTTGACGGACTGCACGACGGGGCCCGAGTGTACGGACTACAGGATCTTGCCTGATTAAGGTTCCGGCCTACTCCCGACAAATTGTAGAACATGAAGCGCAACTGCATGGCCCCAGGCCGAGATACTGCTTCAACTGGCTGCAGAGCTCGCTGCTCGTTTGCCGGCCCCATAGAACAGCAATCGCCGGATGCCAGTGGCCGTTCCGCATCTGCCAGTGGGGATTGCCAATTGGTCGTACGGCATGATACGGGCAAAGAGACGGGCAAAGCTGCATCGTGAAGAAAGGCCTGCATCTCTTGGCCCACATCGGTGAGGCCCCCAGCTCTGCAGCTACAATCTGCAGTGTCTTCATGTTTTCCCTACGCAGAAGGCAATCATGTGATTAGCCATGGCTTGCTTGCAAGAGTGCCTGTGCTTTTTTTTGCATTTTGGTGCGCTTGTGCTGGTGTTGAGGCTCAGCAGCCTTTATGCCCACAAGTACGACACGGAGTGGCCAGGCTATCCGGGTCTGGGCACGCATAGCTTGCCAGGGCCTCAAAAGCTTCCTCCTCAACCAATATTGGGATAGTACTGACGAGCACTAACAAGCGCTTTGTCAAGTGGCAGTCGCCGCAACAGTAACTGTTGCAGCAGCGGCAGCAGGAGGAGGAGGAGGAGGAGTCGCAATAGCAGCAGCAGTAGTAGTCGTCGCCGACGTCGTCTTCGTTGTTGTCGTGGTCTGGTTGGCATACATTCACCCCACCCGCAGCGGCATCACCAGCAGCAACACTACCATCACCGGCACAGGCACCACATCCAAAACCAGCACCATCAACATCATCACACCATCCTCATTACTGGCATCATCCTCCTCATCGTCGTCATAAGTTGTCGGTGATGATGGAGCTGCAGCTCAATAGTATGAACAGGACAGAGGTTTTGTCGTTGGCGACAGCGAGATGCAGCAGCATCGTGTGTTTCATTGAGTGGTCCTGACCATGTTGCATCGCGCAGCACGCCAGGCAGACTGCTGGTGTGATCACGGTCATGTTGAGGGGCGTGGTATGCTGTAGTACTCTTCCGTGGTGCAACCAGCCGAGGCCCTGCTCGGTGGCTGTGCGCAGCTGAGGTAAGGTGTGAAACTGGGTCGGATCCACCCGCAGTGGAGAAGGATTGCCGAGCTTTCATGTGGACAAGTTTTACTTCAGCTGCCACTTTTGCCGCTAGGCGCAGTAGGATCACTGCTGCCACAAGGTCGCATTATGGACGACTCCAGATGCTGCAAACCTCCAGAAAAAAGGCGAGGTGCGCGTGGAAAGGAAGCGAAACCTCTGCACGCCGCGGTCATGGGAGGGCCAGAGCCAGTGCCCGCAGGCGGCGGCTTCGAGGTGTTCCGAGCTGCTGCTCAAGAAGGCCGGCTTTGTCGCCCTTGGGATCTCTCAAAGCGATGCGGTTTCGAAGAGGGGCCGTACAGGGTTGTCTATTTTTGACGGCGGCGGTAAAGCTTGCTGTGTGCTGCCTTGTTTCAAGACGGCTTTCCTTTGGAGATTCGTTGCTTGAGTCCTTGCATCTAAGGCATGCCTCCCAGTGAGCGCTACAGCTGGACCCCGCATCTCGAGGAGGGCTCTTGCCTGAGGGTCAGGGATAATGAAACAAGGGAACATAAGGGAACACTATTCTGGGAATGCTTGCAGGATGATCTGCCAAAGCAGAAGCTGATCTCAGAGACGCAGTTTGCCTCTGCCCGGATACCCTACAAGTCGACGCTGCCTGAATTGTCGGTTCGCCGGTGCACTCCAAAACAGGGATGACAGGGCGGGGTCTACTCAAAACGGTTGCTCACCGGCAGAGGTTCGTCACCAGCCAAGGAATCGCTTGGTCATGTGGCGCTGCGACCGATTCTTTCGCACGGACTGGCTGCCGAAGTATTGGTCGGCCCCTCATTCTACGAAGAGCTGCACCAGTCACAGGTTTTCGGTGAATCCTTGGTTGCAACTTGATTCCTCCTTCCGGACAGGCGTGGAGGTCTCAGGCATCGCCGCACAGACCTTTGGCTGCTCTACGGGGATCGGTCCTGAAGGTGTGAAGCAAATCGGATCGGAGGGCACACCTTGAAGAAAATGGAGCTCAGGGCCTGAGGCTTTGTTGCTTTGCACCTCCCGGTGACTGCACCGACTTTCACCGAATGCTTCGACACGTTTGCTGGCCGGAACCATGGATAGCCGCAACTCGCACTGTACACATCTTGGCCTTTCAGCTTGCAGCACAGGGTCCAGGCATTTTTCAATTCCCTAGGCCATCTGATCAAGATGCCATCCTTCCACCGACTAGGGACTAGCAGCACCAACCGACATTGCTAGGCTCGACGTGAGCCAGCACACAGCAAAGTGAAGGGATCCGGGACACGGGCAGGCAAACTTCAGATCAGGCTTGGAAATGCTTCTGGGCGTTCTCGCCTGTTCGGGGTTGTAGTCTCCGTAGCCAGTGGCCATGGGGCAGAATGGACCAGGACTGTGTTCGTCCCGCACAGGCCATAGTTCCTGAAGTCGCCAGCACGCTAGGAGGAACAAGCCGCGGAGCCAACTGAGTCGCTGAACATAAACAGATGCTCGGCAGTAAAGCCCAGCAGTTATCAGGGTCAAGTCATCATCCCTGTCAAGTGCCGCGGCTTTGCTCTGAGGTCTGCGATGGAGATACTTTCGTCAGACGCCCCTCGAGCCAACACGGGGATGCCAATCGGGGGGAGCAAAATGTGCCTACTAGTACAGCCGGCAATCCTTCGGAATCCTCGCAAGGCTACTCCCATGGAAGATGGCCTTGTGGAAAGCGCTTTCCTTTGCGGCCGGGCCGGAAGTCAGTTGGCTAAGTGGGCCTGCTTTCCTCAGCTCGATGCATCCAAGGTAAGGACCGTCATGATCGCGTACCTTCTGGTTCTTCTCGGCCAGCTGCCACTCTCAATCTAGCCTTAGAAGCACCAACCCCGTTAAAACAGCTGGACGCATGGCGATTACTTTCGGGCAGGAAAGTTGCATGTTCGGGACAGGGGGTTCATCAGGAAAATGCAAACGAGACATGCAAACAGAAGCAAGGAAATGCGAAGTGTCAAAAACATGCAGGGCAACACGTGAACATACGCCGGACATGCGCCTGGTCAAGCAGGTCCCGCAAAATACAGCCGCTAACTCAATGAGTAGTGTGTGGGGGGCTGCGAAAATGAAGGCAGAGGTGTGCGCCTGATGTCGGCACGGACTGCTGCCTGAGGGGCGGCTAGACCCTCTCTGGATGCAACGGCGGAGCGAGAGTTCTCCATGATGCATTTGGGATGGATTTTCTCGCATTTTCGACTGCCATGTTTGCGATTTTTTGCAGTCAGGGGATTTGTGGTATAGGAGGGATCGGAGAAAACACATCTGGCAGCGATTCTCCCTTGGGCAAGGGGGCGGCCTGAAAGCTTGTGCGAACAGAGGCTGGTGATGTGCGCCATCGAGCACGACGAGGACGCCGCTCTGTGTCAGCTCACTTTTCAAGCAGTATACTGTTGGTATTTCGGACAACGCTACAGATCGTCTTAACAGTCACAAAAGCACCAGAAATCGAAATCGTAGACACCGAATATGTTTGAAGCAGCGCTGCCGCGTCCACTGGGAGCGGACTACAACCGCCACAGGAGTGTTAGGTGGGTGCCACAAAAACAGCCATCACGACGACTGCTACAAACAGAAAGTATGTTGAAGTTAGATAAGTAGTGGTACGCAGAAGTCAAGTAGCAGCAGTGGTAGCAGTGGTAGGAGTAGTTGCAGTCGGAGCAGTTGGTGGTGGTGGTGGGAGTAGCAGAGAGACTAGCAGTTGCAGGAGGAGGAGGAGCAGGAGGACGAGCGGGAGGACGAGCGGCAGGAGCAGGAGGCCTCAGGAGGCGGAGGAGGAGGAGGAGGAGGAGGAGGAGGAGCAGTAGTCGTAGTATTGCATTGCGGACGTCGCACCGATCTGACAGAACTTCTCGACGAGAGAGAAGCTTGGGCACAAGCTGCACTTTCACCGGTTCACATCCAGTTGCTGCAGCAGTCGTAGTCGTAGTCGTAGTCGTAGTCGTAGTCGTAGTCGTAGTCGTAGTCGTAGTCGTAGTCGTCGTCGTGGTCGTAGTATTATTATTATTATTATTAGTAGTAGTAGTGATAGTAGTAGTGATAGTAGTGATAGTAATAGTAATAATAACGGAAACAGTAGTAGTGATTGCTGTCGCAGGTGGCGGTATTTGTAGGAGTGTAGGGTAGCAGTGACATTAGAATCAGGAGCAACGCCAGCTGGCGGACTGGCGTGAAATTCAGCAGAAGCTGCGCAAGGAGCTCTCGCCAGCTTCTCTGCCAGCAGTGTAATTGTAGCGGGGAATCATGTTTCGGCGCTTTAAGGCATACCTGTCATGAATATATATATATATATATAGAGTCTGTGCAAGTAGTTCAACTTTCGAGCTGGCCCAAAGCTCGATCGGCAGATGTGACGACGTTGCGGGATCTGCAATCAAAGCCTCCCCGCACCTGTTTGGTTTAAATTAGCCTCTAACTTCTCACTCTCGACCCCAGATTCGGCAAAAGCTCCTGGCTCGCAGAGAGCCGAAGACAACGGTGCGGCCCAGGCGACGTATGCTCAGCTGGTGGCCAAGGGCTTCAAGGAGGTTGGACCGCATTCTGGCTGGCAGTTGGATCAAGAAGGAACTCAGGAACTGGAACGGGCTTGGCAAACATCTTAAGCAGTCTGTCCCACCGTCCGTCTCATGAATCGGTGACAGCAGGGCAAAGCAGAGTTCCTGGTAGTACTTGGGGTTCTTGGGGCCAATGCTTGGGGAAGTTCCTAAGAAGGCTTGCATGCTCTCATGTCAGTTCTGCCTATCTCCACCCGGGTGCCGAGGCATGATGCCGCGTGGGATCTAGCATCTTGGACTGAGGTTCGACCGTTTCGGTGTAGGTGCTGTCAGCCTCGCAAACAGGAGTTGTCCAACAGCGAATAAAACAGGAGGCTGTGATCTGTCACGAGTCCTGGTCCACGTGGCTTTGTTCGCAAGACTTGTGCGATTTAAACTTGACTGTCTGAGGGCATTGGGCACAGCAAAAGTTTGATGTGCCTTGCCGGAGAATTGACTGCTGCTTTCACATGGCCTTCTCACTGAACGGCGTGTTCGAATTTTTTGCGTTAGAAATCCGTGAAGCACTGCGGCAAGGTTCAGTTTCACATTGGTGGCATCCATCGGCTACGGCAACATTTATCCTGCGACGGATGCTGGAAGAGTGTTTTGCATTCTCTTCACGCTTCTCATCTTGACATGACTGCCCGCGTAGAGTATGTCCAACGGGCCGAACCGTGAGAATTTCAAATGGTCGTGTGCATGCAAGGTTGATTGCGACGCCGGCTCTGGTGGTGGCTTATCTAGGGGCAGCGAGGAAAATGAAGCCTGGCAGACAGCAGACATGTCTGTCGATCTTTTCCGATAGTTACCAGGTATCAGATGCAAGAGCTACTGCCAACGCTACGCCCAGGATAGATTTCACACGAATTGTTGCGATGCTCTTCAACAAGACGATTCTTGGTCTGTACTGGCGTAGGCGATTCACGGCATGATGCAAAATGCAGCAGTGTCGTTTCAAAAATGGTCCGAGCACAACGGCTGCTGGTTCTGGTGCTGCACAGGAACATCCTGACTTTTCACAAGTACGACACGGATGGCTCTGGACAGCTGGATTCCGACGAGTTTGCTGCAGCTCTGCGGGATCTAGGATACCCCGCCACTTGGATTTCGGATGTTCAGCGGCTTGAAACAACTTAGGGGCCATGTGCAGTTCACATGCATGCTGTGTGAAGTGCTCTGCAAGGTCGCAGACAACGATGTGAGGATGATTATGGAAGAGGTCAACATTTGCCACTCTGTGTGCATAGGTTCGTCCAGACTTGTGCGAGCAGTCTCAGCCAAAGTCGATACGTGAACCAGCAGCAGCTGCTCGGAACAGTCCTTCGTTAGGTGACACAACGCTTGTAACCATCCAAGAGTTCGGCCAAGCTCTGAGTCTTGCCTGCAAGCAGGTGCTGGTTTCGGGCCCCAGGTATGGCAAAGTCTCCGGCCACATTCATCCACGTCCTCTCGGGTAAAGGATTGCAGGTAGCTTGTTCATGAGCGGTGCTTGTACGCGCAGTTTCCGCGCAGAAACTGGGCAATGTTGGCTTCATCGGAAGAGCCGTCCAGGCAACGGTCTACCAAGGATATTGCTGGAGTTTCCGACGGCACGACAAGAGAAGCACCGCCTGAGTGAACCGCCCTTAGCTCTTGGCATTGGCTTTTGTTCGCAGGGCCGTATCGGAAAGATAGGGTACGCAACCAAGAGAAGATTCGACAGGCGATGATCAGCTTCACTGCGACTATGACGTGGTTGGTCGTTGGTGCTTTGTGCCTTCGGCACCCAACCGTTGCGAAGCGCACTCTAAGAGAGTTCCATTGCTTCTCATAGGCGCTTGATGGTGGAGCCGAGAAGCAGCTTATTTTTTCGCGAAAGAAATTTCAGGATGGAGGGGGTGGACTGATAAAGGACAAAACTTCCAACGCTGCTGTGGTAGAACTTTCAAAGTTGTTCATGGCCCAGCTCTTGACACCTCGTTTGTCATGCCTGTAAGCCCGACATGAAGCCATCATATTTATATTTGGATCGTTTGTAATTGCGTAAGTTACCGCCATCAGCGCCATAAGCTTAAGATGAATCTCCACTTGTGCTGCGAAGGTGTTTCCAGCAGATCGAAAGGTGGAGCTTCATCGAGCCACTGCAGCACGAGAGACGAGAAACGATAGAAGCACACTGGAGCTGAGCTGAAGCAGAGTGGGGTTGACACGGCCGAGGAGTCCATCTGGTTTTGCTGGGAGACACTCATGACAATCGGCTTGGGTGACCTGGTGCCCCAGACAACGCTGGGCCGCGTCTTGGCACTGCAGTTTATTTTGGTCAAGGCCAAATCAGGACCGGGTGCTTGCGCACATGAAGGGGGATCCGTAGAAAACAGCCATCTCAAGTCTGGCGGCCATCCAGCTCGACAAGCTTCGGCACGGTCGAAATGGTTGTATCTGCTTGTCTTTGGGCATGCTGAGAAGAGTGAATGACTTGCCTTGATTCGTGCCTCAGCTCAAGCCGAACTGCAAAAATCATCTCGGAAGTATGCCGAGGATGGCTGAACCTTGCTTACAGCTTCTTGGGCCTTGGATTCATTTCCGTTCTGCTCCAGCGGCTTGGCCTCTGAGACCGTCGCCTCGGATTGTGAAACCCAGTCCACCTGTCTCGCAGCCCATGGTCAAAGTAACAAAGGAGCGTGGTGGACCTTCTGTCGAAGCACAGCTCCATCATCGGGAGGTTAGAAATGCGGATATTGGAGGCCGCTTATAGCATCGCTCCTGGCCATCTGACGATGTTCGAACCTGAGGTTCCCAGTACCCTCCCCAAACCTGAAGCCTCGGGAGGCGGGCTCGGCTTCAACACCTTCCTTCAAGCACTTGAAGCTGCAGCAGAAGGTAGTTAGAAAGCGTGCCTCGGCACGGTCATCCCGGCGCATGTCGTCGTGTGTTGTCAATCGAGCTTTTCCGGGGCTGTTTCCGAGCCATCGTAAGCCTACAGCGCATCTGGTGTGTATGGAAGCCGGACACTAGGCCAATAGGCAAATTTAGGCAAATGCTCACTAAGGCGTGAGCACCACGGCTGCATTCAGCCCGGAGGAGATGTTCAGTGGCATGAGTCTTTCGGACAGTTCGGGCAGGATTTGCTGGCTAGATTCTGCCAGATGCGGCTGACACTACGGCCAGTGGGGTAAAGCTAGCTAGTCAACAGCTTCGAGCCTGGCTACGGTGCCTGTTGCCATTCCTCGTGCAGTGCCTTCCAGTGCCGGGTCTCTCTCCCTAATCACTCGCCACAGAAGCAGCCGAGGTCTCTTGCAGGCAGGGGCGGTCATCAACATTTGCGCTTGTTTCCAGAGATTTCGCGGATCTGAGAAATGCAACAGGGCCTTTCTGAAGCTTTTAAAGCTAGAGTTGGGAAGCACAGCCTAACACAACAGCCACGGCTGTTTATGTCATGCACCAGCCGCTAGCGGCTAGACTTGGAGAGAGATCTCAACAAAAGTCCTTGCTGCTTTGATGGTGGAGGCTGAGCGATCGATCGTCCTCAGCGGCAACAGCCCCAACTCCAACCAGACCAACCGGTTAGATGCTTGTTGCAAAGAGTTGCGGCTCTTGCTGTCTGCTCTCCTGAACTTCAGAGATCCCTAGGCCCTAGAGAGGTCGAGCTTCGAAGCGCCCCGGTGCGCGAGACGAAGGCTTCATGCCCCCAAGCCAACCGCAACCGTAGCTAGAACCAGATTTTCTGCAGCACCGTTGTTGCTGCTAGTGACATTGTAGGTGCGTGGAGCATGTACACTAACATCGAATCGGAAAACTGCAGACTTCACGCCGCCTGTCTAAGAGTGAGCACGCACCGCAAACTCCGTTTTGGGTTGTACCATGTTGTGGCGTGTTATACTTGTTTGTATTGTATGTTTGTATTGTATGGTCAGCTACGACATGACATGACTTTGCATGGCGATATCTTTCGCCGAGTCGTACACGAACGGGCAAGGTGTGTGTGTGCGTACGTAGCTTTATCTCAAATAAGAATGATTCTGTAACGTGCTCTAAATACATGTATACATGTATTCTTTTATCTATTTGTTTCATACTTTTCGCATGTCTGGCAAGTTTCCCCAAACTATACGTATTGTCTCTGAAGATACACTCGTAGCCGAGGAGCCTATCTCGCCATCGGAGGCTGCAAGCATGCCAAGCCAGACGGATGAGTCCCTGGAAGGTTGGCCGGTTGGGGGGCGGTTTGGCTGTTGCGGATCTTTAGGGGTTCAGTTCTCTGCAGGTTCAGGCTTCTTGTGCGTATCTAGGATGTGTTTTCCCGCTGCCTCAGTTTTCCTCGCCGAGCTATGGGATGCCATGTTCTAGAGAACTGCTTCCCAGAGTCCTTTCGAGGGCTCCTACTTGGCCTTGCATCTGTTTTTGTTTGCATTGCGTGTATGGTACGAGGGATTATGGCTGAGTTGGTGGCGCCTTCGGATGACGGGCCTGGTTTGACCGAGAGTACGTGTCGAACTTCTCGATCCTTAGCCAATCCTAAAACAAAGCTGGTGCCGGAAGTCCAGTAGCTGCTAGAGGCAGGTACTTCTTTTGTTTCTTCATTCTTACCAACTTGTCAGCCGGCCTTGTTTATGGCTTTTCCTGTCTGTCCAGCCTTGATTCTGGAGGTTCTGAAGGTTGGCCTGCGGATCCTCCAGGCCAGCTGTGAATCACTGTGCCTGTACATAGGCGGACAAGCACAATATGCAAACATATGCAAGCATCGGTAAACATATGCGTACGTACGAGATAATTGTTTTCTGCTTGCATTACAAGTACTCTTGTGGTTTGTTCGCGAGTTCAGGGTGTGTTGTGTAGGTCATGAGACGGTGACGATGATGACGGGCAGTTATTTGAAGGACGAATCGCTAGGTCCAGCTGGACTATGGAGCACTGTAAGTATACATAAGTGCCAAAAAATGTAAGGTATACCTGCCTGCATACCCACCCACCCACCCACATAATTTATTTGCCTACATACCCACGCTGCCGACGTACCCGCCTGCCTACTTATGTATATGCACTCATTTGTTGTAACGTATTGCATGTGCTTCACCGGCACTCGCACACACCAAGCAAATCAACACGTCGCGAGTAGATGCTAGGCACAAAGTGTAAGAGTTTAATGGAATGTGACAAAAAATGCGACAAGTGGATGGATAAGTTCTGAGCACGGTATATTCAATGTAGGGGTTTGTGGCTATGCTAGTAATTGAGTTGATGGGATGTTGCTGGGTCGACTTCTGTTTTGACTGACACCCGGCGAAACGTAGGACGACTTGGGTTCGGAAGCTGGAGCCGAAGAGACAATCGGCTGGTAACCCGCGGGAGACAGCATGGCATGGACCCCCGCGAACCATCACGATCCCCTCAAGGTGAAGGTGAGGACGAGACGACCGGAGTTAGCTGGGAGACTTGGACAGCAAGGCGGCATCAAACTTAGGCTCAGCAAAATTACTGCAAACAGCCGGAACTGGGGCCATGATTCCTCTTCAGAGTGCCCTCCCAGAGCCCAGAGCCCTCCGCTGACAAGCTGCCTCGTTTCAGAGCTTGAGCCCTCGGCTGTTTGCTCCTGTCGCTTGGTGCGCTTGGTCTATCATATTAGATGATGTTGTGTCGTATCGTATGCTACAGTACTGTGCCATAGCAAGCAACTTTGTGTTGTTTTGTATGATGCCGCATCGTATTTTACAATGTTATGCTGATTAGGTTATAATTTATAATTCCATTATAACACATTGAGTTGTACCAACACTGCTACACGATACAATGCTATACGTCCTTATCCTATATTATACCACCATATTATACTACACAGCTTTATGTTGTATATTTTGATGTTATATATTTCACATTTGTTATCTTATATTACATGGTACACTGTCATGTCATAGTCTAGTCCATTCCATTCTGTTCTGTTCTGTCCTAGTGCGTTCCATTATATCGCATTTTATATAGCATTCAATTTTTCTGATAGAGTCTGATATTCCACATAAGTTACTTTATCTCGTGCTATCTTAGTTGGATCGGCTTTAACGTTTAATTTATAATACTTTATCTCATGTTAAATGGTGTTGAGAAGTATGTGTTGCTATACATGTCATGTCATACCATGCGGTGTTCTGTTGTTTCTTTATCTCCACTGTATGATAGCGGGGCAGAAAACGGAAGCTGAGGTCCGCATCTAGTGCAAGGACAGCAGGCAGCAGCAGAAGCCCACTGAGAGTGAGCTGCTCATCTGGCCTTGTTGGCAGTGTGAGTATGTGTAGTTCGCTGAGCTGCGGGCAACCCAGCTCCGTTTCACCTTGCGAGCGGACAAAGCCCGCTCCAGGGCGCAAGTGGGCGAAAGACGGTGCCATCTAAAGGGTGTAGGAGACGAAATTATTGAAGTCCATGAAGCTGCCGGAAGAGTGTGGCGGAACTCCTGAAGCCCACTTTTCGCCAAAGGCGCTCTGCAGCATCCTCACGAGCTCACCCTCAGAGAGGTGGCTTCGCTTGGAAGTCTGGGGAGTGTAGACGTAAAAAAGGGCATAACATAACACAACTTGGGACTCCCTGGCTCGGCATCCATCTCGAAGGGTGGTGCGAAGCAGAGGACCTCTCCAAAAGCAAAGTTTGAAGGTCAGACTGGTAATTGCCAGCCCTGACCGCCACTCCACTACACAGCGAGATCCAGCGAGCAAAAGCATTCTTTTCTGTCAAGTTCTGCGCATGTCGAGGAGTACGTGCGCACACGAACACAGAGTTTGCCCTCCCTAAGCTCTTGTCGATTCGNNCGCAGCCTTATAACTTTTAACTTTAGCCCCAAAACCCCAAACAGGAAAGCTTGAGCTAAACCCTAAACCCCCAAAACGCACTAGATTTGGAAAGCCAAAGATGTTTGCGAATTCTGCATGACTGCATGGAAGTGCGTGGGAGCAGGATGCCATAGTGTCAACGCTTCAGACATGGACGACACTGGGAGAATCAGTCAGGACTACTCAACAGCAAGCCCAGTTATTCGCTGAGTGCAAGTGAATCCAAGAATTTGAAACTGCATGAACAGAAGATGGGTTGATACTCGGAAAGTTTGAGCAAGCCTGCCAACAGAGTGCCCTGGGTCCAACCATTCATTGCTGACCGCTGGTGGCTTTGCGTCTGAGATCGGCGGATACATATTACCATGGTTTACACTACCATCTGCCTAGGCTGGCGATTGATATTTGGATCCTGTTAGTCATGGGACAGAACGATGCAGTTGACAAAATGTGGAAGGTGCAAAGACACAACGATGTTCGAAAGCTCGAGCAAGATTGTCAACAGAGTACTCTGGGCCCGACTATCAATCGCTGACTGCTGGTGGCTTTGTGCCTGAGATGGACGGATGCACATGACAGTAGTCTACAATACCACCTGCCTAAGCGGGCAATGATCGAAAATCTGGGTCCTGGTGGTCAT